TAAAAAATCCTTTAAAATGAGTCCAAACTCGACATATTTAACTTTAATATTAATGGAAATACAATCACTTCCGGTTTGAAACGTCAACGTCAATTTTGACATATTTGTCATCTTCATTAAAAAACCTTTAAAATGAGTCCAAAGATGACGCACTTATCTCAAAAAACAAAAAAGTTAGAATAAAAAAATTAAACCCGAAGTTAGCAACAATGAAGATAGCAATTTAATTTTCAAATATTAATACCAACCTTAATTTTTTATTTTTTTTTAATGATATTTTTGTGACAAATATTAAGAAATTTTATAAAAATTAAGAATGACATTGACATTTCAATCTGGAAGTTGCTTATATTTCGAGTAATATTGGAATTAAACGTATCTTGTTTGGACTCATTTTAAAGGATTTTTCACGACGATTACAAATATGTCAAAATTAACGTTGACATTCTTAACCGGAAGTTGACCATAACTTCATTAATATTGAAGATAAATATGTCGTGTTTGTACTCATTTTAAAGGATTTTTAATGAAGGTTACAAACATGTCAAAATTGAGGTTGACATTTTAAACCCGAAGTTAGTTATTATATAATGGAAGTTTTATAACTGAAGTTAATCTAGTGTTAGTCACTTTTCCGCACTTGTTTTTTATTTTTAACGTGTTTTATGGGCCATTTCACATTGATTAAAGAAAATCGTCGATTTTTAAGCCACATGATGATTCTTGAATTTTTCCAAATATTATCTGCAATAAAAAGCCCTTTTTTAAATATTGTCTACGCCCTTGCTAATTTTGTCAAACGGGCAGTATTTTCGTGTATGTGATCAATTATATTGTCTATCAATTGGTCTCTTACAAAACTTTGATCAAAGCAATAGTTTTGGAGAAAAACACGTTAGTAGAAAATTTGTTAATCCAATCAGAAACTGTTGCTTTAATCAAAGTTTTGTAAGAGACCAATTGATAGATAATTGATCACATTACACGAAAATACTGCCCGTTTGACAAAATTTGCAGTGGCGTTGAAAATATTTTAAAAAAAGGGCTTTTTATTGCAGATAAATGTTAATTTTAAAGAAATTTTGACCCGCTATATCTCGTTAAGGAGGCATTTGCGACTCCATGTATATTAAGAGTTTTTATCTTAATTTTTGATGTATTACCTGTCCTAGAAGTCTATCAGCGATTTTTTTAATCACCCTGTATATATTTTGTGACTTGGAATTTGTTAAAAATCTTAAAAAAAAACAATGTCTCAATAATACTAGAGGCAAGACGTGTATCGATCGAATGTGTGAGGCCTCCCCACAGGACAATTTATAACATTTGACATTGTGACCTTTATGATGACATTGATAAACGTCCCTATCGGACAAGATGACGCCGGCGTGGCGTTCAGTACGAAGGAGGAACGTTTAAATGTGTCAAATAGGGTGAGTCAGAGAGGTACAAACCTTCCAAAGTTAAAAGCGATGTGACCAAAGACGTAAACTCAAAATTAGCGCCGAGTCTTAATACGAGACGTTGCCGTTTAATTACGAGGGTTGATATTAAGAAAACAATTTACTTTAATGTAATTTTAATTATGGTATTTAGAAATTTGTTTGAAGTTAGTTTGTTGGAAGTTGGGTAGGGTTTCTATTGGTCGTTCTTGACAATTGGACCGTTAAGATGAAAATTTAAGCTAGTTTAGAGTATCGTTGCTAAAGGCAAGGAGAGTCGTAGCTAGTTTCCGGGTGCATGTATATGGTTCGGAAGTAACTCGCTTAATATTAACCGGGGAAATAGGCACGTGCCTGGCAAAAACGATGGCGGCGTCTCCGGCGCGTAATCGCGTTGTGCAAATCATTTCCTTATTTACCCGGACGCTATCCCCGAGGGATTTACCTCGGGCGACGAGCTTCCTCCACTACAACTCGAATAAATGAATTACAAAATAGTCGTTTGCTTATTCAGCTGGAGAGGCAGATTGGAGTGGTGACGTTAAGAAATTAAATTTTACAAATTTACCGTTGTTTATTGAGACTAAAATTCCGTTTCAACGCTTTGATACTCGCCACTTTAAGAAATTACTTTGTTTATCCTCGTTAAATCGCGTTGCGTATTACAATAATCCCACTACTAATCCGATCTAAATGGGGGGCGATGAATTGTTAAGGTCGTCTGTTATTCCCGTTATCGTTTTATCCCAAAATCATATATATTTCACTCCCGCGCTTGTAGTATTAACCTCAAATTAATGATTCAACGTAAACTTTCGGACAACTGACACCTAAACCACCACTTTGTAAAGTTTCGCCTGCAATCATCTGCATAGAAAATCATCGACATACATAGCGAATGGTTTAATTAATTTTTAAAAGTCTTGAAGTTTGTAATGTGGCTTCGTTAAATTAAGTTGTCGCGGAAAATATCATCTTACATTATTACGTTATTTTCAGTACACCTCATTTCAAGAAACTTTTATTAGGTTTCTACAAAAGTAAAATCTTATTAGTGTCTTTTAAAAAGGAGATTATGTTTCAATGATCCCGGTTTCACTTCATTTCTTTTTATTGTTGTAGTCGCTTTTTTAAATACATCAAAACCTCTTAGTTTCCGTTTTCATAGAGTTTTGAAACTTAGTTTTCACATTTTGTGTATTGGGCATCTGCTTGCTAACTCATATTTTATTTGTTGGACTTTGTATAGAGGAGAAATTGAATCTCTCCCATTATTGAAGAGTTCTGCTATTTATTCCTAGCGTTCTTGGATGGCTCCCAAAGACGGTTTATTTAGTTTATTTAGATTATTTATTTACAAAGATAGATTTATCCTATGGTCTATATTCAGTTCGTCTTGATTATCCATTGGGTTTAATCGGTCTTGGATATTTGACGCGCACTGTATATGTCTATACAGGGTGTAACAAAAATAAATGCAAGAAGAAAAATTGTTTTAAATTCAATACAAAAAACTTAAAAATTTCTGACACCAATTAATACAACAACAATCCTATAAAAGCTTAATTATTGTATTATATATATTTTGCAACCTAAATATAAACAAATCAAGTTAATTAAATTTGAATATTACCGAAATTTGCTGATAATGTTGGTGAGTTATTGACAGGATTATTCGATATAATATTAATAACATTGACATCCGATGGAAATTTTTGTAACATCAACCGCAAAACATTGATCGATTCGCAGACGAGCGCTGTCATTACCGATAATGACAAATTGTTTTCGCATTATTATAACGAAATATCATCGTTTCAGACCCGGCCGCGAGCCGGAACGACCTTTATCTTGATGGCATGCGGTTTATTGCCCATCGCGCGTATCCAAAACAGGTTTTATTGCTGCTGATTGCGCAGAACCGTTGTGCAAATGCGCACATTGCGTCATAATTCCGGCTGATATTTCGTTATTGCAAGGTAACTGGCGCCCGTAAATCGAACCCTCTGTCACCGGAGATATAAATTTCATTCGGTTTATGTTTTTGGACCAATTTTTGAAGTAAATGTTTTGAGTCGAAAATAAAATCTGTCGACATCGTAAGCCGCAATTCTTCCGAAAATTACATTATCAACTCGACAATCCCCTTTTTCCCAAGTGGCCATAAAACACACTGGGGGGCAGAACCCCTTAAACCTTCCGGCAAAAAGCAATCGTCCGAAGATATGTTGTCCGTCCACATCTATTTTTTTATGTAATATAAATAACCCGGCCATAAACGGAACGGGGGTAAACTGCCCCAGGCGAGGTCCGGATTTGGCGGGGCACGTCTCCGGGGGCCTTGTGCGCGGGGGTCTTCGCAATCAACGTTGCCCCGGTCCTTTTGTACGGCCTGTACAAACACGTTTCGTTCTGCTTCGTTATAGAACGACTTGGCATTCGAAAGTCGGCGGTCGACGGCTCCGTTTGCATTTTTCCGAGACGAGGGAAATAAATTCAAATATTTTTTCAACGT